CCAACGCCCACAACAAGCTACAAGAGGAAATACAAAATAGATCAAAAACACTATTAACATTAATTCCATCACAAAAAAAAATAATTCCAATCACTTGGAATTCTTTGGCAGCGGTGTGTTTGCAAAAATATTATGAGACACGAGGTAACTTTCATATTATTCTAGGGCCCCACGATCTCGAGGATGGGCATTGCATTAGATATCTCTTTTAAATCATCTTCTGTGAGCTTCACTCTCAAGGCACCATATTCTTCATCAAGGTTTTAATCTTAGTTGTTCATGCAAATGTACAATGCGAGGTTAAATACAACTTAACCAATTGAATACAACATTTAGGAGCATATTTGAATTTTGGTTTGGGTTTTCAAAACTTATTTTTTAAAAAATAACTGAACACTAGAAGAGTATGATTATGGTTGCAAAAGGTTTCATACAACAAGCAAGTAGAGAACTTTAGAGGATACAGTTGCAGAATATTTAAATGAGCTGATTGACAGAAATTTGATTCAAGTAGCTAAAAGAAACTGAGGAGAATTAGAAGTTGCCGAGCGCATGATCTTTTTTGGGATTTTGCAATTGAAAAGTTGAAGGAGTTAAATTTCTTATGATGGAAAAGTTTTATTCCGCACTATCTCCCTGCAAACATCGAAGACTAGCTTTCTCGAGCTGTGGATTAAAAATGTTTGAATCCTTTGATCATTCATCAAATTTGCCTTTATGAACCCTTTTGTTCTTCAACTTGGGAAAATGAATCCGCCAAAATAGAAGAGATAGAATTTCTGTACAAAAAATTGAGATTGTTGAGAGTTAGATCTTGAAAAAAGTAGGTCTACCCTTTCAAAGAAATCTTCTTTGATGCAATAGAGAAGTTCTTTCACTTGAGGTACTTCAGGATAAGTGAGTCCAAAAATAATGAGATTCCACCATCCATAGGTAACTTTCAAACCCAACAAACCCTAGAATATTTATATGGGTTACCCATATAATGTTATCAGGTAATATGATCACCCAATTATGTCACCAGATGAGATATGCAATGCAAAGTAGTTGAGACATTTTTAATTGGATGCTTTAAGTGGCCTTCCCAGTTGGAAAACCTAACAAACCTTCAAACTCTAAACTACATTGTGTTGGTGACCGGTTTTAGTTGGGAGATTTGAAAAGGGATTTGGAAAAGGAAGATGTAGGTGAAATGTAAATAAAATATACCTACATTTCACATATATTTCACACACCTTTTCCATTTCCCTTTCCAAATCCTTCAACCAAACACAGCCTAAGGGATTTAATTAATCTCAGTGAGCTTCACGTAGTGTTTAATGGAGAAAGCAAGGGGTTACTATAGACTCTATCGGTAGATTAAGAAGCCTCCAAACATTATGTTTGCGGTGTTTAGGGACACTGTTTGAAATCCTACACTTACAATCACTTCTTAGTGCCAGCACCTCCTTCAATTGAGCGTTAAATAGGAAACCTACGAACAGAGATGCACAAACCTTACTGAATCTCAAATACCTCTTTCTTGGATGGATGGGTAATGGAGGAAGATCCTATGCCATCATTGGAGAAGCTTCCAAAGCTGACAATTCTTTACTACTACAAAGTAATAAGTTTGCTTGCATTGCAGGAGGGTCTCTCAACTCGAAATTTTACAACTTCTCAACTGTCATGTGAAGGAGTAACAAGTGGATGAAGGAGAATGCCTTTGCTTCGAGGTGTGTACAACCCTAACAATGTCAGCATCCCAGAGAGATTAAGGTCCATCCCCCCATACCCCAAAAATTGGGATTTGGCAAAGGTGGATGAGTGCGCCTTACTAACCAAAGAAAACAAATTACAGATGTGTAATAGTTTCTGCCAGTAAAATATTGTAAATAAAAGGTTTCATTTCTTATAAATCACTTTCCTAAACGTTCTAGTTTAACTTAGTTTATAAAGCTTTTCAACTGATATGCTTATAATAAAGTTTATTTGAGTTCTATGTATAATTAGATATACATGGTGTGTGTGTGGTGTGTGTGTGGTGTGTGGTGTGTTTTCTTAACGATGTATGCTAGTAAACTAGCTACGTATGAGTATAGAAATAATAAAGATTATGATTTCTCTTTTGGTTATTTGGTGAGAAAAGAAAAGAAAATTAAATTGATTGTGTAGACGGCGCCCGGGGAGGGGCCTCGATGCTACTACAGTTCGGACTCGATTTGTGTCACGCGTTCTTAATCTGAACCAAAGAGTCCAAATCTGGCAAATCGTTTTGAGAAACAGATTTTGAAAAAGTAGTGCCAAAACATGGACTGCTTTTCCAGATACAGAGTCGCCACCTAAATATTTTAAAATGGGGAAATTTAGGAAACCCCCTGACTCGGGCGAAGGCCACATGTCCGCTCATCACCGGATTGTCTCGGCTCGGGAGCCTTGGGTACGGCGGGAAGGTCAGCTATGAGCACCCCCTTTCGCCCGGTCCGAAGGACCGGCCTTCTACTTACGAGTTAGCCAAACATTTCAAAACGAAACCATAAAATGGTTTTATGTCCAATTTGGGCATTCGGTCTATACATGTTTGCTGTGCGCATAACATAGTAATCTAGGCTGATAATCGGAATAAGAACACGTAAAGTTTTCAAAACGGATATCACGGTTGTTAGAGGCCCGGTCTTCGGACCGGCGAAAGGGGGTGCTCATAAGCTGACCTTCCCCGATCGTACCCAAGCTCCCGAGCCGAGACAACTCCGGTGATGACGGACATGTGGCCTTCGGCCACCGAGTCAGGGTTTCCTAAATTTCCCCATTTTTTAAAATATTTTAGGTGGCGACTCTACTCTGTATCTGGCAAAGCAGTCCATGTTTGGCACTACTTTTTCAAAAATCTGTTTCTCAAAACGATTTGCCAGATTTG